CCTGGGGAAGTCTGGCCGTGCTCCTGTCTCACACCTCCCTCCCTCTGTCTCTCTCCTCCCCAGCCTTTGTGCTGCCCCGGGCTGGAGGAGAGAAGCAGGACCGAAGGGCACGCCAGCAGCATGCAAACATCCCTAAGAAAATCAGTGTGATGTGTCAGTTTTCAAGGCGAGTCTCCCTTGTAATGGCAAAGGAATACTTCTGGTGTAGCTCAAGCAATAACAATAGCACAATAGACATATTTCTTTCTCAGGAAAGCTGTGGGGAAGACTTGGTGAAATCCATCCTTCCTTTGCTTCCTCAGGTTCTTTAGTGAGTGTTTATACCCAAAAATCTTGCAAAAGAGCAAGCCCTGAGTAAAGCTACGGGCAGGCACGGTGTTACAGGCTGTGTGTTAGACTTGGGAACCATCATTAACTTTAATGTCCATCTCTGCAGAGGTGGGTGCTGATCTTACCCTCTCCTTCAGGCATTTGTAACGTAAGGATGACACGTGTCTCATACACACTATTGTCTGCCTCTTGCTTTCGCCAGTATTTGAAGTGGGATGGCACCCACAGCTCCTAAGAAATATTACACGGGTCTGGCTCAATCCTTGGTGGAAGGAAATCAGCGTCAAAGCGAACTGAGGGCACAAACGAGTATCTGCCTCCTTAAAGCAGGAAAGCAAAACCTTGGAGTGGGACCGACACTATTATTTTGCCATGTTTCCTTGCTCAGCAGCAGGGGAAAGCGCCACACAGCAGGCGCCTGTAACTCGTCAAATCAATTAGTTTCTCGGTTGGCATCAGCTAGTGGGAGTAGTCCTTAGCCAAAGACAAATTAAAGAAACGTCCAGTAAGATATTCTATTTTGAGAGGAGCTGTCCTATTTTCTTATACTACCGACAGACTCAGAAATCTGTGCGCAATTTAGCTCGTTATTAGAACTAATTGGTGCCAGGCATTCCATCCTCTTTGATACGGCTAACCATGGGTATGAAATTTTCTGAGTTAATGAACCGTAAAATGGATTAAGAACTTTCAAAGCGCAGTTCATATCACAGCTTAATTGGAAGGAGTGTATTAGTTGGCTTTTTCCGGATACAAAGGAAAGCCATGTTTTGGGGTGGAAAAGCACACGCACAGCCGCCTTCCCTGCCACTGGGGAGCTGGGAAATTTCTAATTTCAGAACAGCAGAGGAGCGGCATTCGGTGGCAGGGACCTTCCACAAACGCTCCACAGCACGCCCGGCAGCTGGGAAGGACAGAAACAGGCTTTTTTCCTCTGCGTGCAGTACTTACTATTCCTCCTGCGTAACGCCCTGCGGAGAGAAACCAATTAGCACAGCTCTCCCTGCAAGGTCAGGGAGCTGCCGGCGGATCAAGGGCCAGTCGGGGTGGGATGGATCCTCCCGATGCCAGACTGCTCTGCCTTAGAGCGTGGTCCCACTGCTTTTATACCAATCTTGCTTTTTTACGTCTGTTTGACACTGTTCTGAACAGAAGCTTTGTCCGTCCCTCACCCTTTTCTTACCCATTGGCTCAGAAAAAGGACACAAGGTGAATTAGAAAGTGTCCCTCTGGCAGCGATGGAGAGGGAGATCCCTCTGCAGGTGTCCCAGACATGACATGTGGCACTGGGTGGCAGGATCTCAATGACAGACATAGCTCCCTGCCATGACTCAGGATCTGAAGGTTACCAGGTGAAACAGAATATCCCCATACAGCACACACACACCTTTTACTGATCAGCGCTGATTTGGCACCATATAATACTGATTAAATACTCCCTATTCCCTTTTGTGATGTCAGTGCTTTCCTGAATGGGCATGGAAAAGTCTGAAGCTTTTCATCCTTAGTAGCAGCAACAGTATTTTTTCTTTCAGTATGTAAACATGAATTTTATGTTTCGTCTGATGATACAGAGATACATCATTTCATGTTATTACAGAACTTTGGTAATTTAGGTAATTTGCAATTTAAACAAATGCCAAACTGTGTACCCCTTCAAAATATATTTGGAAGGATGTATTGTATCACAGGCTAAACCCAGTGGTTCTCCTCTTTGTTTTGTGCAACCTCCGACCTCCAGAGAATTTCCTGGAAATGTCCAGACACAGAAAGTGTTGATCTGATCCTGGTTTTATGTGGTTTTTTCTTCTGATATGGCCACCAGCAGAGTGCTGCTCCTCAGGTGCCAGAAAATCCTTTTGAGCCCCAGTGTTGCTAATTGCCTTGCTGTGAGTGCTCCACGCTAACGAGCACACGGATAGCCAGGGTGCTTAATGCTGAGAGCTGAGGGTGGAAACGGGGTGCAGAGTCAAAATCTAAAGACCTGAGAAACAGAATTATGCACCCAGATTAGTGCTCGGTGCTGCCCTTCTGCTCACAGAGAAAGGCATTTTGGAGACTCCCATAATTTGAGGTGAATGCCAAGAATATACTATTAACTTTGTTAGCTTTATCATTCCTTTGAGTTTAGACATACCCTGCTATTGTTATGTCACACGTTGTATCAGGATTTTATCAGGAGAAATATTCAGGGTGTTCGAACACAGGCATGTGAGACCCTGAAATACTCTGCGGCTTCATCAGGCTTGAGAGAACAGACACAGCATCCCCCTTTGCTGGCTGTGGAAGGAGCTGATAGTAAATCACAAGTCTGTTGCCTGAAAACACACTGCAAATGAGAAGAGATTTCCTCTGCGCAGGATTTGCAGTTTGTGTAGAAAGTGTCTGTGATACCTCTGCACCACAGGGAGAGGGGGCATCATGTTGTTGTCTCCAGCTATAAAAGCGCTCTCGCACTGTTTTGTTCCAGCGGGTGAATTAGCAAATTGGATTTGCTCCCAGGAGTAAAATATTCATTTATCATTTCATGGAAAACCCGACTGCCGTGTAAGATGTGCTGTTGCCTGCTCCACATCTGTTTGCGGTGAGCTACGATGTGTTCCTCAGGAAGCTTTTATCTCAGAAATAATGATGGACACGCAGAAGCAACTGACCACGCAGAGCGGCTCTTGGCTGGTAATCCGGGTGCCTCGGCACAGCTTCTGCCTTCTGTGAAATCTTGAACGTATACAATTGCAAACCGCAGTCAGGAAGGGACTTCTGGAAGGATTATTCTCCTGTGCAGTTGTGTAACAAACAATTAATAAAGAATATTATGGGCTGCCAGGTCTTGGGACAAGGAATGAAGTATAAACAACCACCCGTTATTTTGCCTCCTGCAGCTGCACCCCAGTGCGAGCTCAGGGTGCTGGGTGTCTCTTCAGAGGAGATCTGTGGTGATAACGATGATTAGTGACTACTGTCCCACATGTTTCTTGCATGTTTTATCTGTCCTCTTAGGTATGTCCATGCTAAAATCCACTCTTGTGCTGTGCAAGTGTTAAGGCGGCATTTACCTCGTTAACGCCGGCAATGCGGGAGTGCAAACCAGAGGAAAGCCTGCAAAGCCACGTCTGCAACCACATCTCAACAACGGGCTGATTCTGCCTCGAAATACGGTTGGTCTCAGCTATTAAATGTGTTATTTGTGTTTGGAGTGAACTGTGATCTGTAGGCAGTAGAGGAGAGAGTGAATGGAAAATATTCTTATTCCTTGGGCATATTGTAGTCTCCTCACGATTTTTTTTCAGCCACATCTTCATTTGCTCAGCTCGTGTCCCTCCTGCCTTGGCCTCAAGCTGCAAAATTCACCCTGTAACTGCCCGGAGAGCTGGCGGTACAGGATCTGTGAGCGATACAAACATCAGGATCCTCACTGGTGTCTCTCTGGGGGACAGATGTTTAGAGAAGGTGTGGAATTTATGATGTAAGTGAAGATGTCAAGAGCTTGTTAATCGATATCACCCCAATCACTTTTCCTTTTAAAAAGCCATGCAGGTGCCTGTATTGGTTTGCTTTCTCCTGCTGCTCCTAGGAGTCGGGGGATTTCTAACGTCCACCAGCGATGTCCACAGGAAATCACCTGAAAAAGTCTGTGGATTCCTGGTAAAAACTACAGAATGGCTGCTTATGTGAGAATAACTGTGGCTAACAAGGTCAGGTGGCCTGACCTTTAGTTTTTGGAAGTTCTAAGAGCACACATGAGGTTTTATGAGATATTTCACTTGCTTAAAAAAAAACACTCTGCGTTTGTCACGTGAAAATATTATGGTCAATATTTCTTAAATGTTAAGAAGGGCTTAATATTAAGTCATCTGCAAGCCCCAGGATTTGTCTGCAGGTTGGCTTCCAGCTCAGGGGTCCTGGGGGCCAAAGAGCAGCTCTCACTAGAGGATGCACCAAGAAAAGCCCCCCCAATCGATGTCGTTTATAATCGGAGCTTCAACCCACCCCACAGTCTTGCTGGGGTTCTGTTGTGCACCCTGCTGGGTGGCTCTGAGGGGCTCAGCGGGCGGCCGGGGCACTTCTGTGGGGCCGGGCGGAGGAGGCGGCAGGGGACGGGTGAAGGGGGGGACCCTCGCCCACCCCAGACGGTGGGGCTGAGGGGGTGTGAGCGGACACCTCCCTTGCTGCCCAAGATGGTGGGGCTGAAGAGGTGCGAGAGGACGCACCCTTCACCCTCACCCACCCAAGATAGCGGGGCTGAGAGAGTGCGAGTGGACACCCCTCCTCAGCCGCCCGAGATGGCGGGGCTGAGGGGCTACGAGCGGACGCCCCCTTCGCCCTCACCCGCCCAAGATGGCTGAAGGGATGTGACAGAACCGCCCTTGACCCTCCCAAGATGGCGTAGGGGAGGGGATGTGACAGAACTGCCCTTGACCCTCCCAAGATGGCGGGGCCGAGGGGCTGTGAGAGGGCTCCCCTTCACCCGCCCAAGATGGCGGCGCGGAGGGGGTGTGACGGACGCCCCGCCCCTCTCTGCGCGGCCCCGCCCCTTACCCCGCCCTCCCTCCCCGGCCGGTCCTCCCGGGCGGCGACGCGGGCGGCTGCCGGCAGGGGGCGGTGTGGTGCCGGCCGGGGGGGAAGCCGGCGGCGCGGCCCCTCTCTGTGCGCCGCGCAGGCCGCGACGCGGCGTCATATGACCGCGGCGCGGGGGCGAGCTGGGCCGTGAGGGAGCGCGCGGGTGTGGGACAGCCGCTGCCGCCGCCAGCACCGGGCCCAGCACTGCCAGAGCCCCCGGCCCCACGCTGCCGCCACCATGCTGGCGCTACTCTCCCGGCTGCTGGACTGGTTCCGCTCGCTCTTCTGGAAGGAGGAGATGGAGCTCACCCTGGTGGGGCTGCAGTACTCGGGCAAGACCACCTTCGTCAACGTCATCGCGGTGAGCGGGCCGGGGGTAGGCCGCGCCGGCGCCCGGTCGGGCTCTGCTGGGCCGCCGCGGCCTTTGCGGTCCTGGAGGGAGGGGGCTGGGGACGGGCAGGGCCCTAGTGCTCGGCCCCGCTCTCCGCAGCCCATGGCCGGCGCCTGCCCCGGCTCCCCCGGTGTTCGGGCCTGTCTCGTGGTGGGGAGCAGGCGTGTCTGCCTGCGGGCGGGGGGCGGTGGGGTCCCGGCGGGGGGGGAAGCCGGCGGCGCGGCCCCTCTCTGTGCGCCGCGCAGGCCGCGACGCGGCGTCATATGACCGCGGCGCGGGGGCGAGCTGGGCCGTGAGGGAGCGCGCGGGTGTGGGACAGCCGCTGCCGCCGCCAGCACCGGGCCCAGCACTGCCAGAGCCCCCGGCCCCACGCTGCCGCCACCATGCTGGCGCTACTCTCCCGGCTGCTGGACTGGTTCCGCTCGCTCTTCTGGAAGGAGGAGATGGAGCTCACCCTGGTGGGGCTGCAGTACTCGGGCAAGACCACCTTCGTCAACGTCATCGCGGTGAGCGGGCCGGGGGTAGGCCGCGCCGGCGCCCGGTCGGGCTCTGCTGGGCCGCCGCGGCCTTTGCGGTCCTGGAGGGAGGGGGCTGGGGACGGGCAGGGCCCTAGTGCTCGGCCCCGCTCTCCGCAGCCCATGGCCGGCGCCTGCCCCGGCTCCCCCGGTGTTCGGGCCTGTCTCGTGGTGGGGAGCAGGCGTGTCTGCCCCTGCCGAGTGGGCTCGCAGGGAGGCGGCCGGGCCAGCCCGGGCAGCGGGCTGTGCCCCCATCAACCTTTGTGTGCTAATGGGGCCTCGCTGATACGGGCCCGCGCTGATAGTGCAGCTCGAGGGTGTGCTCCGAAGGCTTGTTTGGGACAGCAGGATGGCTGGGCCCACGTTAGCATAATGCAAATAGTGTCTTCAGCTGCTTTCTTCCATTTGACTTTTTTTTCAGTGAGCCTCAGTAAGTGATTTAAATTTTTGCCACTCGTGGGTCTTCTCTCAGATTTTTGCTTATTCCGATTGCTGGAACCTATGTCAAATAATCTACTTTCTCTTAAGGTATGCACTAAGAAGTACAACTTCCAAGCCTAACAGCAGCAGACTGCTGAACTTGGGCCTGCGTATCTGCTGATCTGCCTGGAGCAGATGAAGGAAGGGTGTGGGAACCCTCCTACATGAAGCTTTTCCATTGTTGAACAACATAAAGCGTGGCTTGCTTAAATGGCTTGTTTGGCTTCGGCAATGTCCTGTTCTACAGATGCATGTGACGGAAAACATTCAAAGAGACAAGCTGGAATTTGGAAGCCCTTGCAGGGAGGCTGGAATGGGAAACAGGTGTACCTTTGGTTTTGCAGGGAGCATAACTCCCTTGGGAAAGCTGATGTCTTCAATCTTAGTTGAGCAGACTTTCAGTGTGGGCTTTTTTGCGTTGTTTTTTAAGCCGTTTCTTTAATATCACTGAGTATTTTTATGAGTGTATTTATTTGTCAGTTGAATGGGTTACTGGGTAGGAGAAGGGCTCTCATTCTCTTGCAGTTTTACCTGATTCCCGTTACCCTGACTAGCTGACAAAATGTAACCAAGCTCTTGTGTAGCTGAGGATGTTAGCACTCTCCGGGCTTTGTGATAATCATGTGAAATGGGTCTGCCATCATAACTCTGCCTGGTTGTGTTAGCTGGAAGCTCCAGGACTAACCCAAGAAAGCCAGAAGCCTTTTCTTTTACACACAGTAGTGGATGCCACCACCTCTGGGCTTGGATGTCTAGAAATGGAACCCTGAAATTGTTGAACAGCCTCAATCTGTGGCTGCTGAGCTGATGCTGATTGGTGTGTTCCTGTGACTTTGGACACTGAGGTTATTCTGCAGGTTTTTTTTTGTCTTCTGGAGTCCTGGATGGGGGTGGTGCTTGACAAAGCGCTACTTTGCTGTGCTATCTGTTTAGTACCAGCAGCATGTCTCCTTCAGGGAGCTGCCTGTGGAACCTTTCAGCAGATATGTGGAGTAGTGCAGAATTTTTCTAGTAGTTGCACTTCAGTTTAGCCCATCTAAGTTGTCTCAGATGGTAAAAGTACTCCTGAGTGAAGCTGACACCTGCATCCAGCTGGCTTTGCTGGGGGTTGAATCTTGCAAGGTTTCAGCCGCACATTAGGATCACACCCAGACATTTATCTGAGTAAGTGTCATTCAAACAGCCTTGCAAAACTGAGTGAAATAAGGAAGTTGTTATGCATAATGACACAGCCTAGTTAGCTGTTTTAGGTTTGGAAGTAGCAAGCCACGTTTCTGAAGTTTTTAATTAGGGAATCTGGTGACTCCTTGCGAAAAACAGTGTGAGGGGATTGGTTCAGTTTTCTATTATTTGTTGAAAAAAGTAATAGCATGAGCTTCAATTATCAGCACAACATTGCTGCTTACAGGAATAGTGTCATCCGTGGCACAAAGAGCTAACTTCTTGTTAGTTGCTTCATTGACTGACTTTAGTTCAGAGTATGCGTTTGGAAATGAGTGCCGGAAAAGAATAACTGCTCTCTGCAGGCCAGTTAATGGTTTGGATGGATGTAGCTGTCAAGTGGTGGGATTCCATAAAAATAAAATGAAAGGAATGACACAGCAAGATGCTAGTCCTATAGAGTAACTCTAAAAGCTGGATTATGTACCGGGAACTTGGTATGGCTTAAAGATTGCCTTCTGTCTAACAGAGGGCTGTTACCGGTCTTCTGACAACAGTGAGTTTAATCTAATATAAATCTCTAATGTAATCTATGCCAATCAAATCAGGCATATATAACTGAAGGAAAAACTCAAACCAATTACACAGGAGGCTTGATACTGCCACTGAAGTAGAAAGGCCATGCAAGGCAGGCAGTCTAGTTCTAGAATAATCTTTTTCCTAGGCTGCTAGCTGGTTTGGGCCTTATTTATTCCTCCAGTGTAAACAAGCACTTAGTTTGTAAATCAGAACAAAGTCAGTTTGACTAGAAGGTTTAAAAACAAACCTTAGTGAAATGTAGTTATAGCTGGATACAACTAATGCAGCTTCTGCTTTGCTAAGGCTCCATATTAGTCACTGTCTCTAATTAGATATTAAGCATAAGTTTTCCATATGTGTGAGTAAACTTGCTCACAAGGGAGGATATCATTTCTTCCTGCTCCTAATTTCCATAATGTAGATGGCCTATGGCTCTTATTCAGAGAGACTGCATGTCATCCGGTATCGCATCTTGAATTGTTAGCCTCTTATCTGAGGGCTCTAAATGACCATTATTTACTGGAGACTGTGGTATCTTCTCTCGTTTGCGTCTCTGCGTCTCGTGGCTGTTAACAGGCTTGTGGAAGCTGGGAGTCCCAGGCACGCTTGGTGTGGGGAGGTTGGAGAGGCAGCCCCACCGCCGTCTGACGCAACTGAAACATGACTCAAGTAAACTGACTCTGCTTCCAGGCTGCAGGCAGGGCCTGCTGGTGAATGATGGGACACTTGTGCAGTTTCAGAAAAGTACTGCATGGAAGAGTGGCGTTTCCTATTGTGAAGTCTTGCTGGAAGACCAGTAGGTTGATCCTTGATCCGGGTGTTTGGTACTGGAATGTTGAAGCTCGATAGCCTGATCCTCAGCAAGCAGGAGAGGAGCACTGCAGGGGTGGGAGGGAGTCAGACTTTCCTGATACAGTTGTCAGGTTTAAGAGCTACACTCAACCTGTTCTGTTTGTGGTCCCTTTCTAGGATTTGTGTCAAAGCCGGAATTAGCATGGTTTGATTTTTAACTTTGGAATATCTGAAAAGTCTTTGAATGAGGCCTTGGTTTCTTGAGAGAGGCAATTCTTGACGTGCCTCTCAACAAAAGATTCGTTTAGCCATTCAGGAGCTGTAACTTCCTTCCGTTCTCAGGACTGTTATAAGTAAGTTTGACTTCAAGAAGCCACACTGGAGAAGTGTGGGAAAAGATTCCTCCAAAGAGCTTTGCTGCTGCTTTGGTGCCTTCTGAAACACCCAGGTGGGTCATAAATAGCATATGTTGTCACTTCATACACATAGTAGTTAAGCGAGAAGGTTGATACGTAAGTGAAGTGTTTCTTAATCGCAAAAGTCTCATAAATGGATTGCTTCACTTCATTAGGTAATAATAAAGCTAATATAAGGTGACTCATTCTCCAGTTAATACTCTTTCTTTGAGGTCCTGCTTGCTGTACCCCAGATGTTCTGCAAAAGGGGACTGAACTCAGAATCTACTTTTTCTATCATGGTCTTGAGTTTCCATATAGCATGCCTGGAGAAAGATGCTTTCCTGACTATCAGAGGCCTGAAACATCCTAAGCTCTTACATGACTGACTTCTAGATAGAAATATGCCTTTTCAGGTCTTGCTTCCCTGCTGTGTGGTAGCTACATGATAAGCAGTCCATGTCGTCTTAAATATTCCATTGAAATCAGAGTTGGGGAAATGATGATAATAATGCATTTTCTTGTCAGATACCATGATTTTGCTTTCTGCAGCAATCATTCATGGAAGGGCTGTTGTAAAGCCTTTCAAGGGACTGTTGGATCACAAGGGCTGAAGCTTCTAGAGTTCAAGTTTCTAAATGTGATTACAACAAGCAGCTGAAACACTGAAGTATTTCAAGAAAGAAGCAAGAGTTGATACATCCATATGTGATGCACTTCTCGGTTGAGTCTACGAATGTTGCAGAGGAGGCTTAGTGTAGGGGTAGATTTATATAATGCTAAAATGGCTCTGCTTTTTTTTTTTTTAGAAGAGATTTGAGAGATGCAGTGTTTTTCTTGATGTGAAAAGAAAGAAATTTAGGGGTGAACAGCAGGGCTTAAGGTAGGATGCTGGTTCAGGTAGATTGGGAGTGTCCAGGCTGGAATCCGTACTCCAGTGCTGTTGTCTCCTAGTCGGCTAAGCTTGTTAGTGATCTCTTCTAGATGGCTGAAAAGTATTAGGAGTAAAGATTAATAAAATATTGTTGTGTAGTAACTAAGCCTATATGAAGAAATACGCCCTCTGACAGTAATGAATGGTGTTAGCTTTATGAGATGCAAGCTAAATGCTGCCCTGATGTTTTCTGTTCATCTTGTGCAGGCTGTCAAAATCTGGTAGCTGTGAATGGTGGTTGAGGACCATGTGGATGGACCACTGCAGGCTGCATGCTTTCCAGTGCCAGCAGGAGAGAGCTACTGCTCTAGCTGAAAAGATAGAAGAGGGAACACTGGTTCTACTGCTGCAGTTTGAGTTCTGCCTTTAATGGTTCCTTTAATGTGTTGAAATGAATTTTTAAGGAAGATACAGGAAGCAGGAGTACCAGTCTTGCCCTCTATTACTTAATCAAACTGCTTAGGGCTTGCTGCTGACGGTCTGGTAAGACCTAACTCACTGGAAGCTGGCAGTCTTCTGGCTCTAGCTTACGGCTGGGGAGAGGCAGAAGCAGCCAGAGCATGGTTTATTTTGATTTGGGCTTTATATATATATATATATATATTGACTCAAGACAACTGGAAATGGTAGGTTTAGTAAGCAGTTTGTTTTAATATTAACTAAGTATTAAAATAGACTGAACTTGCATCCTTTGTATGGTTCTGCAGTATTAGGTGACAATAGGTTAAAGGCTTGGCTGACCCTCTGGGAGGTGAGCTGTACCTGTAAGTGGCTTCGGTGGGTGCTGGCTGCCAGAGCTGCCCCTGGAGCAGTGGTGGGCTGAGGGAGAGGCTCAGACCCAGAGTTATGGGTGAAAAAGCAGTGTTTGTGGCTGTTCTTCAGGATGTGTGGTGGTGTCTCAGAGCACACACCAAAGCTGGCGTGTTACAGGTGGGCCAGGCTTGGATCTGGTGGTGAGATGGAGAGTGCAATTCATAAATGGTGCAGTCTGTGCAAGAGTTAGTGCTAATGCTGGATAGGGAGCTGACCCACACCGATTCCTGCAGGGGTTGGCCCTGTATTGGAATACAGAGCAGGGGCTTAGTTCAGTCTGGAAGCAGTCTTGCTCCTCCGAATAATCCTTATCCAACATCAGTACTCGGGCAGGTAAATGGGTTCATGTTGCACTCAAGTCACGTGCTTGGGTTCTCCAGGAGCTTGGAGTATTGAGAAGAAAGCATTTCTTAAACAAGGAGGTTTAAAGACTAGTCCTGCAGGTTCTTTCTGCATGTGGCCTCTGAAATTTGGTCTGTTTAGTCTCCCTCTTGCTTATCTTTCACAGAGGGGCTAGAGTTAACTTTGTTCTGTGACCTTCAGCAAACAGTTTGTACTAACGCTGTATGGTGTGTGTGACCTCAGAGCTAATGGGTTAATTCATAATCACCTCTAGCACACAAAGCTCATCTTCCAGGAGGCCTGGATGAGGTACGGTGTCTGTCTGCTGGAATATTCACGAGTGCTGAAAACAGATGCTATTGCTAGATTTGAAAGCAACTGCTCTTGCTGTCCTTGATGAGTGTTTGAATAACGCTTACTGTGTGTGACAACAGCCAAGCACTTTCAGATTGGCAATTGAAAATATTTCTATGCTTATCAAACTTGTTTTAAAGCCGATGCCTATTTTAGAAGGAGAAAGCATCGTATTGTGAACGCACAGTGATAGGGCTGAGTAATCTGCTCAAGGGGGGACGGGGGGAGTCTGATTCAAATAGAATTGCCTACTAATAAAAGCATATTCTTCTTGTTCTGCTGTGTGAGTAGCTTTTGCATATGAATACTCTTAGATGCAGCTGAATTCCTGGCTTTTTTCTTCTGTAGAGGTAGTAAACAGAAGCCTTCTGAATTCTGGGTTTAGGGAACTGTTTCAGGGCCAAGACAGTTGGCTACAATAGCACAACTTATCAAAGGAGATTATTGTAATGGATTTTGCTAGCAGGCAGCAGTTTTAAGCATTTATTGACCTGTCTTAAAGGTACTGACAGTTACCTTTTAGGTATGCTACCTGTGAGCAGGGGAACACCCACACTTACATCAGAGTAGGGTCTTTCAAACGAAGCTCCGAGTTGATCAGTGTGCTCAAAACCTGTGGTCAGGTGTGCCTGTGCCTCTCAAAGCTACCTCATTTCAGGATCCACAGCATCCAAACTTGTGGTTTGGAGGCATCTCAGGGATGGCACCTTCAGTGTGTGACAGTTGGGAAGGTATGTCGGATGGTGTGGCCTTGTATCGCCTACAAAGCGCGGTGCAGAAGCTGTAGCACAGGTTGTAACTGAGTGATGCTGTAGTACAGCTTTTAAGCAAGTCAGAACAAGTTTTTTGTGCCACCTGGATGCGTAGCGTGGGTAGAGAGTACTTGGAAAGGAGTATAAGGTGCAGCAGCCCTTCTGAAGTTTCTTTAAAAGCTTCTTTGTGGTGGATCACAGTAATTTCTTTAGCATTACATTAAGCACGTGGCAAGCGAGGCGCTGCTCTGATCTGAAGGAATCTGTATCCTAAAAGAGCGGTGAGAGAGTATGAACTATAGATAGGAACAGCTCTCGAGTGAAGAATCTGGAAGTACCTGAGTGGGAATAGCTGAGAGCATATGGGGTAATACGAAGCAGCACAAAGAGGTGGAGGTTCAGGGAGTGCTGGGGAGGTGTTTGGTTAGAAGATGTGGGTGTAGGGTGTGACTGGAGAGGCAGGAATGCGGTGGTTCTTGAGCAACCATGGCAAGCTGACCCTTCAAAGGCAAGATTGGCAGTGCATGCTTTATGAACCGAACTAAACTTCATCAGACGTGGAAAGCAGGGTTAACCATCCGCTGCCAAGCTACGTGTAATCAAACTGGGTGAAATGGGACAGCTCATGCACTGGCATTTTGGGGCAGGAATGGGAAAACAAGGAGCAGGTGTCCAGGTTGGGCACCTATTAACCAGAGTTAGCAGAGAGGTTAGTTTCTGAAACTGCTGCATGAGATTAAGGTACAAAGAAGAGTATGTGTCAAAAAACTGAAGGTTTTTTTCAAATGAGAATGCACACCACCTGCTTAATGAGGTTTAGGCTGTCCATTTTTCAGGTCATCACTGGTTTTAGTGTTGCATTCCTTGAATTCAAGGACTTAGCTACTTGTTTACTCTTTTGAAAAGACTCTTGGTCTGTATCGCCATGCACCCGGGAATTGGATCTTAAATGTGAAAAATTGCCACCTGTTCAGGGGACTGCTGGCTTCACATCCAAGCTCTGGATAGATTTCTGCTTTGGAGGTCAACAGGAAGATCAACGTGCCATTTAACTGAAGGCCTTGGCCAAATAAGACCAAATGAGACTGATATCATCTGTATGTTTTCAGTTGACTACTTGTGTTTATCAGCATTATACTGGAGTCCCTTATGTGAAGCTTGGGGCTTTGGTAGTGGAAGACCACAGGGGTTTTTTTTGGGGGGGGGGTGAGGTAGGGGAAACAAGCTGAAGAAAGTGAGGGCTTCTAGGCATAGAAGTGAATGACAAAGCATTGTTTTTGCAAGCTATCATCTTCTGACTGCAAACTCTGAACAGCATGTACTCAAAGCATGTCCAGTCAATCTTAGTTACTCCTTCCAGCTCGTGAGCAGTCAGGCCCTGACTCTGTATGGCCATGTGATGTCTGCTTCCCAGAGCCTAAAGGGCTTTACCTTGGGCTAGCTCCTCTGTGCAACTTCACATTTTCTGCTGCTATGATATCGAGCCCTAATTAAACAACTGAATGCATTTGAGTTGAACTTCTTTTTTTTTCCAAATCTGGTTGACTGACTGGTTCTATTACACATAATGGATGTAGTGGGATACATAATGACCACTGTGGCTGAGGTTCCCCTTCTGCCAGATAGCCGAGGGAGCATGGGAGAAATCTGTGCTGCTGTTGATAAGGCTTGTTATGGCTCCTGGGTTAGCTACAGGAGATAGCTGGGAACTTGGCACTCAGGCTGTTACAGATAAAAGCCTAACAGATAGTAAAGCATCTGCCACCAGAGAACCTCTCTAATGCAATGCTGTTTTGCAGCAGTTATGTCAGGGCTTAAAGTGATGCTGAACTTCCAGTGGAAGCGGGCTGAAATAGTCTTCTGTTGCATTTCCATTGCATCTTCCGGTGCTGAACAAGTTGGACACTGTGGCCAAGCAGGAAGCAGACCTTTCAGGTCCTTCCACTTTCTAGCCTTTTAAAAGCCCTCAGGGAGTTAGCCCATACCTGTGGGTTGGAGGCTTACTCCACAGGAGTGATTTATGACTGTCAGTGTTGTGCATAGAGTAGCTTGCATCAGGAAAATCTTCTGGGTATTTCTAGCTTCCAGGGAACTAGGAGACTTGGCTCCAGCAGAAGTAGGTGAACGGCTCTTTTCCTCTGCCTGCCCTGGCTGTCCATCTGTTAAGCCATACAAAGCACTTCTCCCCAAGCAGCTTTGCTCCCCTGACTGCCTCAAGGCTTGAAAAATTATTTAAGTGCTTGTAGGAAATCACTTGACTGACTTCACACAAGGTTCAATGCACGTAAACACAATCTTTATGACTTCTTGTCTATAAAACCTTAAGTGGGAGGGGAGATGGTTAGAGAAAGCTTACGATATGTTACTATGTAAACTAGCTGCATCAGCAAAGCACTAAATTTAACTTTCTCTTCTTCCAGTCAGGTCAATTCAGTGAAGATATGATTCCTACTGTGGGCTTCAACATGAGAAAAGTTACGAAGGGTAACGTTACAATAAAGGTAAGTTACCATTGTTGACTGTCTCTTTTTATACCCATGCAAGGTTATCTCCAGTTTCTAGTTTAAAATATTTGTTTGCTCTGTTTTGCTTCCACCTTTGAGACAAATACAGGAAACTGAAGAGGCTCAGCTAAATCTGTCAAATAGCTTAAGAATACACTTAACGTTTATTTATGGGGTTTCTTAAATAAGAATCTTTGTGTGATTTCTAGGTTCAGGGACTAGTTAAGGCAATGTTGTGATAGTGCTCTCTGGCTTTAATCTGAATTAATTTGCACATGTTTAGGGCCCAGAGGTCCTTCTCATCAATATTGCTTAAGGGAAGGCTTACATCAAAAGCAGAGATTTAAGTCAATATGTTTTGGTGTATTTTGTTGTATAGCACAGTGTGTAAGCTCAGCACACAGATGTGCTTTTGCATCTGGTGTGAGGTGCTCTAGTTGGCAGCTGTACAAGGAATTATTTCTCTTCTAATACGTGAGAGGTCCCACAGCTGGCCTAAGGAGAAAGGAAAAACTGTGTTTTGATTTCTCGTCTTACCTTTGTGGGATGTTTTTAAACATAGTGCATGGCTAAATGGTCTTTTTCCCCTTGCCTTAAGATTTGGGATATAGGAGGGCAACCACGATTCCGAAGCATGTGGGAGCGATATTGCAGAGGAGTTAATGCTATTGTGTAAGTGTCGTCTTTCTTCAGCTCCTACTTAACTTCAGATTTGCTTGCCTTGTGTGTGTAGCCTTTCTAACAGTGCATGCTTGGCTCGGCAGTACTCGTTTTAATTTTGAAACTATATTCCAACCATGTTGACCTTTTTTTGCCCTTAAGTTCAGGACTCAAGATGGGTTATTTTCTTATCAGTGTCTGATCTGGAGTGCTGACTACTTCCTGCACTGGGTGGCGGTGCTGTCTGAGAGAATCTTTCATCTACTCTGTTCTTAGAGATTATTTTTTTAAAAAGAGCCAGATTCTTTGCTCAGAAGACCTAGCTTTGTTTAAAGCCTTGTTGAATGTGCTCGAAACTGACACTGTAAAGGAAACACTGCTGTTTCTGAAGTAGTTCAGTCTCACTGACCTAACCTTAAATTCTCTTTAAAGCTACATGGTAGATGCTGCAGATCGTGAAAAAATAGAAGCCTCTCGAAATGAGCTGCACAATCTTCTAGATAAGCCACAGTTACAAGGAATCCCTGTAAGTAACATTGCCTTACACAGTATTACACTTGCTTGAGGAGTGCACATAACTCTGCCAACTGTGAAGTCTGGCTTCCACTTGACTTAAGAGCTCAAGGCCTAACCTTACTGATATCAAATTGTTGATGTTAGTCAGTCCTTCAGTGATCTTATTCTTGTTCAGTGCCCACCAAAAAAAAGAAATTAATTTAGAACAGTAGTTTAGAGTATTCCACAGTATGAGTTTGTGCTCTCATTTAGAGTCTGCTCTAGCACAGGTTAACCAGAGTGTAGTACAGAAATATAGAGCAAGTTTGGGGAACTTTGGCTGAAAATCTGCTGGAATTGTTCTCAGTTTTATGAGCTGCTGTGTTCCCATGTTTGCTTTTTCCACATAACGGTTTACTTGTACCCCTCTTTACCTGTGACTAGATCAATCTTCCTTCTTGATCTGGTTTAATAGTGTCTTGTTCCGTTAGATTTACCAGCCTTGTGCAGACTGCTTATCAGACTCCCCTGAAGTTTGGGGTTTTGTGGTGTGGTTGTGTTTTTCTAGATGCTTTTTCTTTTCTAAAAAGTCAAAGCTGCAACTGTTTCCTTCTGCTCTGGATTTCAGGTTCTAGTACTTGGAAATAAGAGAGACCTCCCTAATGCTTTGGATGAGAAACAGTTAATTGAAAAGATGTAAGTCCAACCCTTCCTAAGAAAAGCTACCTGAACTCAATAAATGAATTCATGTACATGGGGTTGTTGGATCAAGCAGCTTGCATTTATAAGGAGAAAACACAGCAACAGGAGGTGGCTGAAACAAGTTACACGGAGAAGATGAAGGGGAAGAGTTTAGATTCTCGGTCCCTGTTATAAGTGAAGTGTATGTTGAAATGTTCTCTCTTTCACAGGAACCTTGCTGCTATTCAGGACAGAGAAATCTGCTGCTACTCAATTTCTTGCAAAGAGAAAGATAATATAGGTAACTATTAACCTAAAATGCTAAGCATTATGAAGAGCTGTCAGAGGATGGATTTGGGGGATTGTAAGTTGTTAAGCACAAGCTTCTTGGCTTCAGGAAACTGCTAACAAATCAGAGAACAACGTGTAAGTGCACTGGTTAAATTTGGTATAACTCCTGATGGCAGTGAGGAAGCTTGACTGGTATTGAACTTGTTGAGGTTGAAGTTACTGAAACATATGTCAGTCTCCTGTGAAACCTGCTGCCTTTAGTTAGTTTGCAGCAAAGAGCTGACTAGTCTCACTTTCAGCTTGGCCTGAATGATTTCATACTCCGATCGGGTGCTCTCAGCTCAGCCTCACTCCATGAGCCTAGCAAGTACTTGAAGCAAGTTTTTCCTCAGCAGGAAAAATGTTATTCCCTTGAAATAACCATCTTTCCCTGCTCGCTTATCAAAGTGGTTCATGTTGTGGCCTATGATTAGTCACTATTCCATGCAGCCAACAGTAACATTTTTCTGGTGCTGACATCTGGTGCTTTAGGATTTCTGGAGTTCAGAGGCAGAAACCATGGTGCTGTGTAATACCAAGTACCTGACAGTAGTGGCTAAACTGAGTAATCCCAACTGAATGAAAACACAGCACTTAATGCCACTTGCCATCCTTCTCCTGATGCCTTCTTGGGGCTGCCGTGAGGTTAATACTGGTTCATTGGTGGACTACCATGAGGTTACTCATGAGGGAAACTGTAGGCTCATGGTCACAGGAGCAGACTATAGAGGGTGCCACAACAAGTCTGTGAAGGACTTGACTTCTTTCCAGGAAGAATGAACAGCCTGTGGAGCTCTTCTGGCTGCTTCTCCTGACTGGAAGCATTGGGCTGGTGTGATCCCAGTGCATTTCACTTCCTTAAGAGACCCTCTTTCAAGCTTGATGCCTTGTACTGTAGGGCTAAACTAACTTTGCTCTTGTCAGGTGAGGAGAGGCAGACAAATAGAGCAGTGTTGATAGATTTAAAACTGACTCTGTGAGCCACGCCAAAGTATCAGATTAAAGGAAGTCTTTTTCCTAGAGGTGTAGTTGACTGAGGTACCAGGATGTCTGGGGCAGTTACTTAAAGGGTGCTGGGCAGTTACAGGACCAAAGCACAGACAGCAAACATGTCAAAAAATCATTCTGTTGGTCTGTGTTGGACCACCCTCTAGAGGAGGGCTGGATGTTCCTGTTGTGTGTTTGAGGACACTGGCATACCAAAGCGGTGCTAGTTAAACACAGGTGGACACCTGCATACGGACCTTCTCTACACTCTCTCTCTCTCTCTCTCTCTCTCCAGATATCACGCTTCAGTGGCTTATTCAGCATTCAAAATCTAGAAGAAGCTGAAGTCTTCCTGGAATCTCCAGTACCAGTTGGCCATAATCTCAATTGTCCACTTCCCTCCATAAATGAGATATTACCCAAAAATCCTGTATCAAGAATCTGCCTTTTCACGGTTCATTTATCATGTGCACTGCTGAAGACTTGTATTCCTATTCTGTCACAAAACAACTAGAGTTGTCATGATAAAGTCAGCACAAATATTTATTTTACAACCATCTATGGTGGGAGGGTTGGGGGGGGCTTTTTAAAAAGAAAAAAAAATCTCTCTACCATGTTAACTCTGATGGTACACTCTGTTCTGGTTTTTCAGGGCCAGGTTTTTATATGATTTTCAGCAAGTGTTTTATTTCTAGTGTTTAGTGGCTTGAAGATGCTGATGCTTGACAGCATTAAGATTCTGTAAGATGCCACATACAGTAGTTAGAAAACATTTAAGCGTGAGTTGTGGGATCCTGATTTATCTCACAAATGCATGTGACGTGTGTATGTAAGCAGAGGAATGGAAGCTGTTTGCAGAGGGGAGCACAAGGCATAGATCAGCATCACTAATCTACAGCTGAGATCTTATCCTGTCACTTGAAAAAGAAAACTCTCATGATGAACCGGGGAAGAGTCAACCGTTTAAAAATCATTTTGTTGCTTCTGTTTAACATTTGCGTGGGGGATGGGAATGGACTGTTCTGTCAAGCTTTCAAAAATTGGAGTATTCCAGCATGAAAACAAATTGCTAGGAACATCAGACTTTGTTCAAATACATTTTTCTATCTCCAGATACCAGTGGTCTCTATCTGAAACCAGAACACGCATTCTGAGCAGCTGCATGACACTTAAATTACTGGTGTTTTTGTATCGAGTCAGTCGTTGACCTTCAGCACAATATCTGTGTAATTGTCTGGTGTCTCTCCTGCTCATGGAATGGCTGGGCACAGTGTCACCTGGTGCTATGGAATATCTAGGCTATTGTGACAACTCTAGACCTGCCTGCTTTCTTGATGTAACCATGTGCAAAGTCTGTAAGCTGCGAGATGAAATGTTCTACTGTGTCAAAGCACAAGAGAGCCAATGAATCGATCGTGTTTCTTGACTAGCTCCTACAGCTTGGGGAAGTATGTATAAACTAAAGATTGTAATGTTTGGGTTTTTTTTTTTTTTTTTTTTGTAGCTTTACTTTCTCAATGACTTTGGTCTATTTAAAGGGACAGACTCGTTAAGACTGGTTTGTTCATACAGTAATGTCAGTGTAGCTTCTTAGTGTATGCAAATACATGGTACACCTGCTCGTGTTGCCTCACACCGTGTGTGATTCTTCACCCAAATGTAGTTTGCATTGCGTCGGAGTCTTTGGTTGGAAACGCTGTTTAGTCCGTATCGGTTATGACGAGCCAGTTTTAGTTTGGACTGCCATGGCCTTACTGTTCCCTACCAACTCTCGCACTGTTGCACAGACACTACATGCTGCCTGCATTTGGTCTGAACTTGCATTTTTAACTTTTTTTTTGTTCCCTTTCAGTTCTCTGAAGCATGATTTCAATTAATTCATACTCTGGTGCTGTAGAGGAGAGGGTATATTAACTCGCTACTGTAGTCCCTAGTTCACCAGGAACTGCTACAGTTACTTTTATTTAGCAAACTTGCTTGTGCCTAAAATAAGGAAACTAAACTAGAATGTGTGAATCTTTGTGGGGGACCAGGTCACTGTTTAGTTAACTGGCCTATAGCTAAACTTGATGTGTTTGGTGTTTATATACTTCACTGCTTTCAGCGTTTATGGCATCCAAACACTACCAATTGTTAACCTGTGCATTACTCTCTGCATGTGAACAACTTATACAATTACTGAACTTTGTAAATACGTGAATTTTTTTATTTAGGTGGATGCATATGTTGGTTTACTGCTCTTCAGCTTTATTCAATAAACTTATGTTTTGAGGGTTGTATTGACACTTAACTGACTGACTTGGGTTGATGTGGCTTTAACTCATGGCAATACATTATGGGATGTCTCTCTCCCGTAAGATTAGAGTGGGGGAAGAAGGCTCAGTAAATGCCTGAGCTTCTGTATGTTCTGTGGTTCAACCATTCAAGTGAAATGCTTACAAAAATACCTTTCAGGCCTGGGGCTTTCTCAGCTTCCATGGGAGTGACTGGCTAAGCTTGCTCAGCAGACCTCAGTGCTTTATTATGTGTATGAAAAGCACTAATTAGTCAGCTGGAGGGTCTTAAGTAGGGGCAGCCTCCTGGAGGTCTGTTTTCAGGAGAAAAATGCATGTGTCTACAAACTTGTTTCTTGTCATCAAGCCTAGAGTAAAACCTTGGTTTTTCTAGCACAAGTGTCAGATGTATCAGTGCCTGATCACTTACTGCCAATTAAAGCGTAAAGATTCTTATCTCATTGGAAAGTGAAGCTTTTGTTGACTGAGGTCTTGAACAAAATCTTTGTCGTGATTTTAATCTGAAGTTACTCTGACTGTTCTTCCCAAATGCTTTGGTGCATTATTTTTTCTGATTAACTTGTAGGACTGTATTTCACCATCTTCCAATTAATGGTAACAAATTGGCTGTCTTCTGTTCACGGCCTGCCTCTGTCCAAGATTTCAAGCTCACTGAGCTGTAACAGGATGGTTTTTAGGCCTGAGCACTGGTCAGTTAACATCTTTCACATGTAACTGGGCTGGTGGGAAGGGCTGGTGAAGTGTGGTGTAAAAGCTTGTGTGCGTATTTCTTCAGCTGCTGAGGTTTCCTGGGTGCAGAACAAGCTCCCTGGCGTTCACCTTCAAAGCAAAATCTGCAAACAGTACTAATGCAGTAAGATTTGTCACCCGGGTTGGTATGATTCCAGTACTAATAGCTTAAATCAGCTGTGGTGGGAACTTGGCCAACAGCTGTTTGCTTGATGTGGAGTTTCAGTAACAGTTTCTACTTCTAAATGTAAATAGCAAGGGGGGGTGGGGTGTCATACTGTGCGTGCTCTAAAATGTGTATTTGTGTTACTTCATAAAATGTCTTCGGAGCTATTTGTGTACAGTTCTTCCAGATGCCTCTAGTTACGTGGCAGAAATGCAGACCTTGAAGAGGCTATTTGAACCCAGGGCAGAGAATGAGACTTTTTCTGGCTGAGGGCCTGATTAACTTCACTTTGAAACGGAAGTGTAGTATGTGTTCCCAGAGAGGTGAGGCTGTTCTCACCACCTTTCAGCTTTGGACTGGAAAAATTACTCTCTCCTTTGGCACGGTTAAGTCCAAGGTTAAACCTTTTCTGTCCTGATAAAGGTGTGGAGCCTAAGATGGGCGTTAGCCGTGTTCTCTGGTGGGCTTGGATGCTATAGATGTGTTCTGTTCCTAGAAATCTATTAGGCCAATCTAATCTCTTGTGATGATTACTTGTCTCTGTAGTGAGCCTGGACAGTAAAAAGAGACTGATTAAATTGCCCATTCTCTTAACCAGTTGCTTTTTGGGGCTGCATTTTAGTAACATAAATGATTGTACTTAAACATCAGTAGTTCTGAAACTCTCTTCTGATGTATCTGCAGTAGGTCTCGGCCTTTAGCGTATTAAGAAAAGGCAAATACTGAGCTGTAGAGAACTCTGGGTCATGAATGCACGTGTGAGTTAGACACCTTGATGACCTCATGATGTGTTGGTGTCCCAATGACTTTAAAATAGCTGTCAACTCCTAATACTTGTTGGTTTTGTTCAGTACAAGCGATGGCTCTTACTGATTGTAGAGATGTAGACTGGGAAGAAGTGTTTGTGTGTGAGCCCACAGCTGTGTGGAGGATTTCCTTGGAGTGTTAACATCCTATCAATGTTAGTGTGGAGGGTAGTTTTTAAGTGCAATTACAGTGCAGTATAATTATCATCATCACCCCAAGTACAGCCAAGTGTCTCAGCAGTTGCAGAGAGCTCTGTCCTGCCACTTGGCAATGTGAAAAATGCACAAATACAGAGCTGTTCCATGATCTGTGGAACTAATAATCTAGTTTCTTATGGATTTGTGTTTTTTATTTGCATCTTTATGAAACAGGCTGGGAAGACTGTCCTTTTTTGGATGCTGATGTATAAAACTGCATGATCTTCACCTTCTGGTAGAAGAAAAGAGGCCAAAGAAAATGCCTTAAACAGTCTCACTGGTTAAATTAATACAGGAATGTTGTGCAGGGATCTATAATAACTTGAAGTATGACTTAGCTGGATTAACAAGCTTTTAAACTTTTCTACCGTTTAATTTTATAGTTTACTGTGGCTGTGCAACAGCATGTCATGAGTTTGCTTTGTGCACCTTTGCTGAATGTGAAGGAGAAGCACTTCCCCCTAGTCGCACGCCCCAGCGCTGCTCCCTGCTGCCTTGCTTTGGCTCTGGCCCCGACTGGGAATTGTAAAAAAGGGGTGTAAATCAGGTTATTTAAGCTGTTTTACTAAAAGTGGTGTGTTCCCGATTTACACGAGCGGCAAAGCAATGAATCGTGGTAAAGGAGAAACAACGTGTGAATGTCTGAGCCTGGCATGTGCCCCAGGACTTCTGTTCCCAACGTGTGAGTGTGGAATGACTCGTCTCCCTGGATCACAAACCTTCGACGGGTGGGCTGTTGCTGGAAGCCTACAGGTGCTGAACGTTACAGTATGCCTTGGTGAAACATCGGGGTTTTCTTTAGATATCACTTAAAAGACAAAACGGCACTCAAAGAGGGGCTATGCACATACTCTTTTACAGGAGAAATCAAATATTTGGTGTTTTTATTTCCGTCGCGGTGGAAGGTGGGTAAGTAGACCTTTGTGCCAGGATTAGTGCCTTTTAATTACGACATGACAGGTTTTTATTCTGTTAAAGGCAGCATCTATCATTGTGATCGTTTTGAAGTGCTTCAATAAAAGTGTTGTTGAAAAACATTCTTTCGCATATTCATCTGTAGTCGTACAGCTGCTTTCATTAGTCTTAGAAATATTTGAGATGCCCTCATTGCCAAATTGTGGGAAGTATTGTTATGCTTGAGCTAAACTAAACACATCTAAGTTAAAATTTAAGGCTTTAGCTCACCTGTGAGAGTCTTTTAGCAAGGAAGAGTAAGTCGTAGAGTGGTGTTGCCTGGTTGACGCTTTGTGTGTGCTGTGTGTTGGGAGAGCGGTTTCTGTGGAAACTGCAGGAATATTCTCTGTGGAAACTGCAGGAATATTCACTGTGGAACTTCACCCTGAGAGAGTGGCCGTGAGGCTTGTGCTCAGCTGGGGGCAACTTTCTGGGTAGTTGGTCTGTGAAACTCTATTAAAGTTCTGATTATGGCTTTGCTTTAGATGCTGAAAGCACTTACTGGTCTAATTTGTGTTTCTTTCTGAAAAGGCCAATCAGGGAGAAGTTCATAAACCGTATTATTCAATGAACAAAGCAAATATGTGTGTAGAGAAAGAAAAAAGCTGTTGTGATGTGTGAAATTTAAAGCTGAACTTGATTCACACAAGACTCTCAGTGAATTAAACTGGTAAGTTGCCTCTGTAACTCTTAACTCGGGATGTGGGAAGATACTTCAGTCTTTTCAACAAGGAGGAATTTTCCTCATTTTTTACAGTCAATAAACAAATCCCCTTCTTGGTGTGAATAATATTTCTGGTGCATAAGGGGAAAACCATTAGAAAGATGCATGAATTCCACAGATTGAAGAAAGGAACTGAAAGAGCAACCCCAGGCTGCTCTGTCTGAATTGTGACTTTATTTTTAGATTTATTTGTTGTACTGTTTCTGTTGCAATGAATGGAAAACAAAGGGCAAGATCAGACTTCTGAAATAGAACGCATAAAATAGAGGCTGAAGACAAATCATCAATGCCTGGTTGTCTGTCTGTGTATGATAACAGTCTTTAAGTACTTTTTTCCTCTTACATTGGGATTTTTCTTATCATTTGTTGATTTTTTTTTTTTTTTTGGTAACAAGTCATTCCCTTTCTTGCTAAAAGAATGCAGTGCCACAGTGACCACTAGTCCTTGGTTTAGTGATAATGCAGTCGTGTTGCAACCGCAGATACTGATGCTGAGAAGGTTTCTGGGGTATCTCAGAGATTTCTCTCCTCTTTCCCTCTCCCAGCTGTAGTTTCTTTACTGACTTCTCTGTTCTTTTGACTGTCTTTGAGGGGTTTGAGTTTTACCATTGTTGCCTGACTCCTGTTTCCGCTTTCATATCTAAAAATTGCTAGCAGCATTTGTCAGCTTTTGCTATTTATGCTGCTTTCTGAAAACTCCACCTGCCTCGGAGCCGCTGCCTTGCTCTCTCCCTTGTCACACTGAAGGTGGGTAACCGTGTGCTGGGGGCTGCTGTCCTTGCACCCCTTGTGCCATTTTACATCCCGTTGTGTGGAGGGAAGCCCTGTGTCCATCTCCAGTGCCCCCTCCTCTCCTCCCAGTCCCCTTCTCCTTCAGGCCTGAGGCTCTCCTCAGGAGGAAGGCTGCTCCTCAGGTCCCAGCCAGGGCCCCCTGACGCCGTCTGTGAGGTAAGCAGCCCTTGGATTTGCAGCAGGATCACAAACTTTACTTGAATCGTTGCGGTTTTGTTTTTTTTTTCCCTGAAAAACCTTCTGTTTCTCAGCCTTCGCTTCACCCCGCGGGCGGTGAGGCGCTTCGCCAGGAGGAGGCGCTCCCGTTCCCCGCCTCCCCTGAGGGCCCGGCCCCGGCCTCAGCCCTTCGCCCGGGCGGGGCCGGACCCGCCTCCCGCCCCTCCCGTCACCGGGCCGTGCCACGACAGCCCCGCGGCCCCGCCCTTCCAGGCTCGTAGGGCTCGGCCCTTGAGTGACGTCGCTCCGCGCCCTATCAGCGGAAGCCGCTCCCGCCCCCGCATCGTCTCGGCCAGTAGGAGCGGGGAGAGGGTGGGCCCCGCTCGGTGTTTCCCTTCCGCTGTTAAAGGAGACGCGTCGCGGAGGCTGCGGAGCGGGCGGGGGGAGCGGGCGGCCCCTTTAAACTATGCGCGCGGCGCGCGGGCCACCATGCAATGGCGGTCGCTGGTGCTGGGGCTGCTGCTGCTGAGGCTGGGGCTGCAGGCGCTGCTGGCCCTGCTGCCCGCCCTGGCCCCCGGCCTCTGCCTGCGCCGCCGCTTCCCTTTCCCCTTCCCGCCG